ATTATTTAATGTGTATCAGATTTCTTTTTTCTACAAATTACAATAATTCTCGAGGTATTTGGAAACTACAAAGAGTATGAAAAAACGTTTGAATATTTAATAAAACGTCTCACTTTTAAGAAAATATTACAAAAACCCTTTTTATACCAAAAAAATGCCCTTAATTATTATTGAACTAAAAAAAATAGACTTAGAGAAAAAGAATATAAGAAAATGGGGCATGATTTTTCAATATATGAATAATATTAATATTATTATTTAGTTCAAGTTAGTTTTTATTTTTGGAGTTTCCTTGTTAGTATTTTGTCCTCTAATTTTTAAAATTCCCTTATTTAACTATTGTTTATTTATTTATTATTATTACAACCTTTAATAGGTTAGTGTTTTCGTAGGTAAATTATTTCCTTCCTCATATACACAATTTCACAAGTCTCTCGTCTTTTTTTTTTAAACTAACTTAAATAAACGAGAGTTTTCAACCCTTCCATGAAACCTTTTTTATTTATAGGTTTTCTAATTATTAAAGTTTTAAGTTTCTTTTTTGTCTTTTAATAAAAAATATTATTTTAATATATTTTAAATTAAAAACATTTTAAAAAATAATTGTTATTACACTTTAAAGTATCTTCCTAACTTCTTACTCCTTCAAGCTTGTATCATTCTTCAAAAGACTGTAATATTAAAAGGTTTTCAATAAGATAAACTTAAAATTTAATCTAAATTGAAAACTTATATTTAAAAATATAAATAACAGTGTTTAGAACGGTTTTATCACATCAAAACATGCAATCAAAAGGGAAAAAAAATTTATACATGAAATTTAACTTTATTCCTTAAATTTTTTATGATTTTTCCTTTGAAACTCCTGATTAGCCACATATATATATATATATATATCAATCGGCTATATTTCAAAACTTGAACAAATTAAATGTTAAATATTTTGTTAATATTTGTCATATCTAAAAGAGAAATCCTAACTTTAATAGAGTTGATTGGGTTTGATTTGAACCCAATGTAAACACCAAAAAATATTATTTTTTACATAATAATTTGAGTAAATATAACTTAATTTTAATGATTTAATATTTGATTTTGCAAATTCTAATTGAGAAAAAATTGATTGGTTATAAATTTGTAGTGCGTACTATCCATCAATGGGAATTTCTAATTTCTAATTGATTTTATTAATATAAGTTAATTTTGTAGGTTTTCATCAAATAAAATGGAGTCATGCTCACTTATTCGTTCTGCTCTTCTTTGTATATCTTGCTGCATAATCATGATTCAATTATAATCTGGAATTTGGCTTACGATCATAAATTTTGGTCCAACACCAATGGGTATACTCCACTCATGTATTTTTTTTAATTAATTTTAGTTTCTTGTTTTAACTTTTTTAGTCTTTTATTTTTTTATGTATCTCAAACATACATATATATATATTTAATTAAACAAAGTGGTAATGTGGTCATAAAATAGCTTTTATCTTTATAAAAAAAAATTCCAAAAATATGGAATGTTAAGTGAAGTTATATATACAAATTATAGGAATACAAAAATGCCAATTGCTTCTGTAATGAAGCTACATGATATTCAAGGTAATTTATCTTGGATTTAATCATGTTATGACATTTGTCCTCGACTGATGGTAAATAAATACTATTCTACTACTAATATTATTGTTAACGGAAACAGACGGAGTGACCATGTTAATTTTTAACATTACGGTGGGCATGGATTGTCCTAAAAAAATGAATTACAGATCATATAGAGAAAAACCCTGAATTCGGAATGTTAGATTTTTCAAGCTTTTTTTTATGTATTAAAATAATATTTTTTAAAATTGTTTTTGATATTATTATATTAAAATGATATAAAAACATAAATAATAATAATTTTTTTAAAACTTTTAAAATAAAAAATAAATCGGGCTCCAAAACACACTTGTCGAATCACACCTCTTATCTTTTTAACCCGAAATGGTATCATTCGTGTTGCTGTTGAAGACAAGGTTGCCATTCATTTGATAGCCAAAATATGGCAATACCTCTATGAAATATAAAATTGCTTTTACAATTTTGGATCCAATATTAAAAGAAAAACAAACAATACGTATTTGATACTAAGAGTGAACAAACAAAATTAATTTAAAATAATAAGTGGGATTGAAAAATTAAAACATATAAATGAGTTAATAAAAAAGTGTTTTTTGATTTTCAATTCTCCTAAAATACATGCAACAAATTGAAAAGGAGAACTTTGAATTATTTATAATTAAATTGTGGAGTTAATATACAATCCGTTTACTTTATTTATATATTTTCATTATTTATTTCTATTTTTACTGGATTTGTGCTCAAGATTCCCACCATTTTATTGTGTTAGAATACCACTTGAAAACTATTAGTTTTTTTTTTTTGGGTGATATGATCAGTTAATACTAACCGATGTTATGTTATGGATATGGATATTTTGATAAATTTTTCCGTGGATGCATGATCCTTGAACTAGTGACGGCGTTAAGACAAATTGGCAAGACACTGACGCAGGGTCGGCAACCCTTCGAGGTGGGCGATGCTTGCAACCAACCAGGAACTCTGCACAATATGAATCTGTCGAAAGATTCAGAAGCCAATAGCACCGTCATGTGCAATTGCACCCTTCACCTCAATAATGATGGTTATTGTCATATCACGTCACTGTAAGATTTTTATTTTTTTTCCTTCCATATTTATTTGAATACTTCTTGTTAAAATAAATGTTTTGGTGTTGAATTAGTTGTAGTATGGATAGCCCACTTTTAAATAGATTGGATACATTGCTCCTATGTTTAAATTAATTGTCTGAAAATATCTCTAATCTTAAAGTTGTGTTTGGTATTGGATGAAAATTAATTGTTTAAATTTTTAATCTGAAATGTTATTACGCCAACCCTTCGAGGGGGGCTGGTTGTTGTAGATTTTAAGCTCTTAATTAAGCTGTTTTTATTTGCAGTTTCCACTAATAATTTGCTTAAGTGATGAAGGGACTGTATACTTTGCAGCAAAGGAGATGAACAGATTATATGAATAAACAAAAACAAAAGAGTTTTACAAGTTATCAAATGTCAAAAAAATAAGTGATTAACAGAATATACATAGAAAAGTTAAAGATCACAGTACTAGGGATCAAATATAAGTAAATTATCTAAACATTTTGTTTATATACTGATGGTGCTTTTCTCTTTCAATAACAGATATCTAAAAACGCTCAGTCTTCCAGGCGAGCTCCCGCCTGAAATGGCCAACCTTGCATATCTTGAAATTCTGTAAGAAACTTTTCACGATATATTTTATTTGTGTTTCTATGTGTATTGATTGTAGAATCTCAAAGTAACTTTTATCGACTAATTTACAAATTGTGGAATGGAAATACTTAATAATAATAAAAAAGAAGAAGCATATTTGACGTAGCTGAACCTAAAAAATAAGAATAAAAAATATATATATAATTTTTTAAAGACATGATCACACATAAATCTTATTTCATTGTTTTATTGTTGAATAATTTCTTTCTAATATTCTTAATAAT